GAAAAATTGCTACTGTTACGTGGGGTAAAACAAACGTCGTTTTGATAACTCGGGGCTTGTCTCGTTTAATGTCACTAGATAGCATTGGATATAAGTAAAAACAAGGTCAGTAACTGTTGCAATAATCATTTGTCAAATTGTCAAAAAGATGCACTCGTGCATTCACTATATATATAACGTTTATTATACTCAAGTGGTATGAGAGAGAATCTGAATATAAAATACTTATCAGCATGCATAGTATAATGTAATATTCCTATAATAATATTTATGTATTAAGACGGTAGTCGGACGTATTTAAAGGGATTCCACAATTAGGTTTTATTACATGAAAGGGGTGGAAATAATATTTATGTTTAAATGTGATAAATGTTTCATCTGATGTTGGTCTAGACATTCAAATCACTTGTTTGAAAAAATGTCAGATAATATTTCTAATTGTGAAAAATGACAAAAAATAAAAAATAAATGAAATAAAAATAAATAAATAAAATACTGAAACGCGTTGTAACGTTTTCACTCAAATCGGGTTAAGAATATCACAAAGTATTATTTTCATTTTATCACTGAGTATATTACTTAGCTACGTTTTCTCTTTTTGTTTAAAGTGTCCAAGCTTTTCCAGGTGAGAAATTCACATTTTATGTATTAACCCTTTCGCTGCCAGAGGGTTATTGTTTTATTGATCACCTATTTGCCTCCCGTCCGTACATTTTCCATGAATTTCCATGAAAACTTCCGGAATTTTCATGGAAATTGCCAACTCTGGATAATTCGGACTACTTTTCCGGAGTAGTTCAAAGAAAACTGAAAAAAAATCGCGAATTTTCATGTACTTTCTCCATGAATTTCCAGAGCTTTTTTCATGAAACTTTTCCAGAGTTTTCCATGAAAATGTTCCAGAGTTTTCAAAGCAACTCTGGAAATTGTTCTGCTAAAATGACATTCTACTCCGGAAAAATGTTCCAGAGTTACTCTGGAAAATGTTCCGGAGTTACTCTGGAAAATGTTCCGGAGCCGCTGTGGAAAAAGTTCCGCAGTCAAAAATAGGATATGGGGTAAGATGCCAATAGCCTTGAAATAATTCTGGAAATACTATGGAATTCACTCTGGAACATTTTGGGATTACTGAAATGATGGTTGCATAATAAAATCAAATGACCTTTTAATTTGCATTTAATATGTTTATATTAGCAAATCCAAAAAAAGCACTCTAGTCATCAAGAATTCAAACACATATATTAATTTGCACATTTCACAATTATTTCTAAGTCAGAGTGTTTTATTCAAACAAATGTAATTTAACATCCATTTAGTACACATGTATATATCCTTCACTTCACATGTTGCAACATCTTCTTGACTTGTGGTGTGACCTCTCTGATGGATACTGAAAAATATGAATTAATTGTATATAAATACATGTACTTGTGTTATATGCACAATGTCAATCATATGCACAATGTCAATATAATTAGTATTGTTTAAACAGGATTGATAAAAAACATGAAAGAGTGAAAAAAGTTAAGATGGAAAACTTTCAATTCAATGATTTTTGCAGAATATTGGCACAGAGTTATCAAGTAAATACCATGCTTTGATGAAAATAATTTTTTTTGGTCAAAATCAACATTATGATAAACTTGTGTCAATTATTTCCCTGCTTTTCCTATATCTGTGTAATGACAACTTTATGTAATGGCAGTTTAAATTAATTAATGATCTTCACAAGTACTTAATTACCACTGAAAGTTTGAGATGTGTTCAGTGGAGTCAGAATAGAGATGTGTTCAGTGGAGTCAGTATAACAATAATAATATGCATAAAATATGAAGAACAACATTTTGTTCAGTGTTTGGAAAATAGCATGCATTTATATAAAAACATGTTACTTCGACTTTTTTTAACAAAACAAACTAAATTATTACCAGGATAGTTCTGTAAGCATTCTGTATTCAACAGTACATTTATCACTTTTCCCTCATCTGATATCCTTTGAGAGGAAACATCTCATGTGACTCCAAGACTTGAAAGTTTGCAACCTAATATGTTGAAAAAATAAACATATGTACATGAGTAACAAGAAATTAAGGCATATGAATTTTATTAAATGTGAATTTGGAAATTCATTGCTTGATATGGAATCTCTTATAATCACAAATATTTTGAATGGAAAATTATAATCTCAGATTTTAAAATTCCCGCCATTATTTAAAAATGAAAAAGATTTTCTAAACTATTGATATTGAAAAGTTATATGTATGCAGAAACACAATCACTAAAACAGTGTATACTTGCAAAGAAAGTTTGAAAAAACTAAAATAATAAGTGTTAAAAAATATAAATACATTTGTACTTACTGTTAGAAATGGTGATATATACATGAAGTTCCCTCCATTTTAACTGAATCATGAAATACACATGTTAAAAAGTTCATATGTCCAGAAAACTTTTGTAAATTTGTCCAGTTTAAACTCATTTGATCTAATATCCAATGCTCAAACATAATTTTTTAAGTTATAACTTTTAAGCAGTTAGGCACTAATAAATATTATCTTTCAATGCTTCTGTTCAAATAACCCGCCTGGAAGGAGTGTTCTGACCTGTGATTTGTTCTGCAAGGGTATTAAGTTACTTGGGAACTACAGTGTAATATAGTATGTTGTAAACCTGCTTTACCTCTTTCTATTCTCTTATATCAGATAGGTGAGTTTAACTTTGGTGTTTATGAAAACAGTGGGTTCCACTTGAGGGGTCATAAATATTTACATTGTGGCTGATGCTGATTTGAATGTTCCAGAAATTAATCACTATACATAAGTTACTTCTACACAGGATGAATATATAAATCATATATACTTCAATAGAGATACATAATAAATTTATCATCAATTAATAAAGAAACATAAGTGCAGAACAATTACATTTGTTCTTAAATTTAACTTGTTTCTCTTTAATTGTGTATTTATTTTTTCTAACTGAGGGTAATGTACGTAGTAATGAACCACTCAGATCTGAGGCTTGATATGAGATACCTTGAAAATAATGAGAGTTAAATGAAAAAATACCTTAATGCATTTTCAATGCCAAAGTGTGGCAATGGAGTTGCATGTGTTTTTTTTGCAATAAAAAAAGAAACAGTTGAGCTCTTGAGGGGCTTATTACAGTTTCATTTTGTTTAACTACAAGTGTTTATTTTGCTAACTGCTACTTTTAATTGCAATGAGTACACATGTATGACCAATCTCAATGCTAAGTAATTAAATTCATTTGTTCTTGCTGTTTCAACAATTTACAATTATTGTGTCAATGCCATATTTTAAATTGTCTTTATTTTCATTATGTCTTAAAACCAGAAAAACTGTCTTATATTAAAAAGATTATTTATCTTAGGAAAAAATATTAAAGTTAAATGTATTAAGTGAAGTATATGTAAATGCAGAAATCAAATGAAAATTTCCTAAGTCCAAAACTTTCTCAAAAATGACTAAGTGTTTTCCAGAGTAAAACTCCTTGAAAATTGTCGAAGTGTTAACTTTCCAGAGTTTCCAGAACTGTTTCATGGTTATTTCTTTGATGAAAAAGTCAAGTTCCAGAGTTCTCCATGAAAATTGTTCCAGAGTACTCTGTAAATACTGTGGAAAAAAGCTTGTTTCCATGGAAATTCATGGAAAATCAGTTATTTTCCAGAATTTTTCCAGAAAGACTGTGGAAAATCTACAGACGGGCAGTGGGTTTTCTAAGAAATTACTATATCATTAATTAATATAATTATGATTATTTGTTATTAGTATTATAATAATTATATATGTTTCCAAATCTGTTAGTATAATGATAATTTGTGTCGATGGTATAATTTTCTTTATATTTTTTATTATTTTTATTATTATTATTAATTTATTATTATAATTATTATTATAGAAACGGCTAAAGCCGTCCATATGGCAAATACGCCGGAAATAACATGGACGGCAAAAGCCGTCCCTATGGCAGTGAAAGGGTTAAGGCAGTAGCAGTTTCTTTAAGGAGTGCCAGCCTATAGGATGCTTTCATAACACCATACATACCCAAAAGATGAATGCGATCACGAGAAAATTTAAACAATATTCAGTAGTATCATATGAATTCAGAATAATATTTGTAGTTTAATTCTCGTATTTTCAAATTATTGAGCCAATTAATTGGCATTTACGTACAACATTAAAGAATGTCCTTTACTACCTTTTGGTTTGCAAATCATTTATTCTTTTCATACTTCTGATATTTTTGTAATGCCAACTGATTGGAATATAATTATACATACCGTTTATGCAAGATTTTGATGCCAAAGTAAAACTTTCAACACCATGTCCAGGAAGAGCTAGCTGTACACAATTACTTGGCACATACTGCACTGCCGCCCAGCACTTAGGGTCATTAAAACATAAAGACTCGCAACTTGTATTCCTCCCAAATGTTACAGATAATACATCGCTATAAACTTGTTCTGTGATTTCGCAAGGTTGTGCTGTGCAATAAAAAAAACAATCTTCTAGCACCGCTTAGTCTCCAGTACATGTGTAAAAGTTATAATACTTTGTACAACAAATAACATGTGGAAATTGGACTGTTAATCTCTCAATCCGTGCCCATGTATAAGACTATAACATATTAGTTGTGGACAAGATGCATTTCTTGATGTAAAAAAAAACATATTCACTCTCACACGCTTTTGTCTCTCACAGTTGAAGACAACTGGCTATTTACTCGTTTCATAAGTTAACTAGATAGAATCTTCTTATCGTGCGGATGATCACACACTTGACTTTTATATCAACTGACACCTAATATTTGAAAAATGCAAATGATACAGGCTCTTCAATACGCAACTATAATTTCTAGAATAATTTACCAGACATACTATAAAGTTTTGGGACATTGTGCGTTTGGAGTATTGCATCATGGTAACTTGGTTCAAAATTGAGATGATTTGCATTTAATGGAACCTTATTTAAAGTACTACATTAGCCAGATAATATTTTTGCATAGTTATATTTCGCTTAACTGTTCGATATGGATATTGTTTGTCAAAAAAGAGAAAATAAGAATCCCCAAAGAAGGCCCAACACGGCAAAAGTGAAAATGTTGCAGGCTTGGTTTGATTGAGCCTGTTCATAGACGGTACTTGTCCAGTGCAAACAACCGTCAACGCCACCTAGCACCGGCTTAAGCAGAATATAACATTTAAACACGAAAATGGTAACATTTTGAATTTAGAATGTTTTATATAAGTCCATATTTGAAAACCTTTAAAGCAATTCAGTTAAAACTAGGAAAAGATGGACTTCACCTTTTCCTATTGCAGTAAACTGTATTGATGCTTAAAAAAGAATTGTCTATAAAAGAAGGTCTGTATTTTATTTATTAATTACGTTAAAAGTATTTAATATTATAAAAAAAACAATGAACTACAAAAATATACATAGATGTTATTTGCAATTGCGAGATACATGACCCGATATAAAATAAATTTATGAACTATATAATAAATTGTTTTAGAACAAAATATTATTCATCATACATATATGTTCATTATATATAACTTTGAAATTGTTAAAAGGATATCCAAAAGATACATTTCCGTTGTTTTTGTTTTATAACTGCTTGAAATTATAGAAAATGTGCCAAATGTAGACCTTTTTCACTCTAATATAAATCGTTCTCATTTCTAAACATTAGAAATAAAGTCTTTGACTATTTTGTTTTGCATTCATTTTTGTTTGGTTCATGCATGCCAATACAATGACGCTTTAAAATTTACTTTTCTTTGAATAGCTAATTAAAAGGTGCGACATATATAAAAATGTATGCATACCAGATCTTTCTAATTATGGAATATGATATATGATAAACAAGATCAACAAGGAAAGGCGGCGTTCACTGAACGCAACGCATTCTAATTGTTTTAGAGTGAAATATATAAATGCTATAGGTTTTTCTTACATAAGGGAACTTGGCATAAGAAAGCTAATGATGTAAAACAGTCCTTTTGTACTCAAATGTGATCACCACGTGTGTGTCTGAAACATTCTTCTTGCACATTATAATCATCAGCGAAATTGGCGGTATATGTCAAGTTTGTGCAATCTGCGACCCAAACACGATCATTTCCTTGTCGAACCAGCCCAACCCAGTAATCTAGACCGCTAAAAGAAGGATTTTAAAATGTAAGTTGGTCAAAGTTGCTATATTCGAGAACTAGAACTCCGCGAGTCGGATGTGTCGCCTTGTGAACAATGTAGTTTAGGAGAAATGGCCCGGACAAAAATGAAGTATGAAAAATAACAAAGGGCAATAACTAAAAAAATAATAAGTGCAGAGCAGCAGTTTCTGTGCACTGCACTTCTTATCAATAAGATCTATCATTCTATGATGTTTCAAGTCCATAGCTTTCATACTTGAGGAGAAATGACCAGGACAAAAATAAAGTAAGAAAATCAACAAAGGGCAATAACTCAAAAAATAAGAAATGAAGAGTATCAATTCTTATGCACTGCACTTTTTCTTAATGAGATCTATCATCCTATGAAGTTTCAAGTCCATAACGTTTATACTTTCGGAGAAATGGCCTGGACAAAAATTAAGTATGAAAATTAACAAAGGACCATAACTCAAAAAATAAGAAATGCAGAGTACCGGTTCTTGTGCACTGCACTTCTTCTTAATGAGATCTATCATCCTATGAAGTTTCAAGTCCATAGCTTTTTTAGTTGAAGAGAAATGGCCCGGACAAAATTAAAGTATGAAAATTAACAAAGGGCAATAACTCAAAAAATAAGAACTGCAGAGTACCGGTCCTTGTGCACTGCACTTCGGGTTATTGAAAGAAGCATGCATACCAAGTTTGAAGTCAATCAGACTTATAGTGACTGAGTTATGCTCCGGGCAAGCTTTAGGGGACGCCGACGACAACGACGCCGCCGACACAGACGCCGCCGACAAAAGTAACCTCTATATGTCACCTTTTCAAGGCGACACAATAAAAATATTCAAGAGCTACACTGATCGCTAAAGTTGGCGGTAATAAACAAAACATTTTTGTTTTAGAATTCATATATATCTTTTCCAAGAGCAAGTGAGTAACAGAGATGCCCATATATGTTCTCAATAGAGATACTATAATAAAATACCATACGAAGTAATATTAAGACCAATTTAAACAATTAATTCAAATTATGCCGGGTCAGTGTGCATAGGGGACACAGTAAAGTGTTTGGGCATTGCTTTTGTAAAGTGATGTGAAGTTATCATAATAAACAAAATGACAACGGTAGATACGGCGATAAAATTATTTACAATATATCTTCTCCGTAAGTTTCCACAGCTCGAGATACTATGGAATCCATTACAACACCTGAGTCTATGGTTGCTAAGTCTCCGCCCAAACTTTGACACACATCTCTTGCAGCACTCCATTGTACCTTATATGGGTAGTACACAAAATTTAGCGGTGTCATCATAGCTGTAAAATATTATACCAAAGTATTCAAAATAAAATCGCAGAAACAATATATTTTCACACCTCCATTTTTCGTATGCAGAATTCTTTCTTTTGATATGTTTAACACAATAGATCTTTAGTTTTACTGTAAAACTCTATTTTATAATCAAAATCATCTTTCATGTTATCTTTTTGTTATTTCACGGAAACTCAAACTGAAAATATAATGGAGATCAAAGGCACTTGCTCATTGGGAACCAAACAATGAAGGACACAATTAGATCTACTATTAAATATTACAATACCAGTATATGTTCCCCCCGTACGTTTAGCATGTATGATAATTAGAACATTTAATACGGGTAGACTCAATTTTACTTTTTTAAACCATCCGATGCTCGATTCAACTCACTCGTACAATAAATACAATATGGATTGCACATTTATTTAATTTAATATACTCTATATAAGTTTTACAAGGTATAAAACTTTCTAAGCGTATTTTCCCCGATACATTATTTCTGCCGTTGTTTTTTTTTCTCAAAGAAACACTCATACATAGTATCGACAAGGAAAATCTCGTGACTGATAATGTTTCAAGTACACATTTTACTTCACTTTCACAAATGTCCCAGTAATGTTAAGAGGTTATAATTGCAGATTGGTTTGATCGAGTCTGTTCATGAGAGAAAATGGAAAGAACGGCATCTCTCACACCTCAAGCATCGGTTTTAACAGTTTTCAATCTTAAACACAAAAATGTATCTACTACATGGTTCCAAAGGACCAGAAAAATAAATAAAAAACATTAATACTGAATTGAAGTAAGGGGCAACTTAAAAGCTGCAATACCTGAACACTTGCTATGTCAAAGGTATAAATGTCGTTTTACTCTCATTTACAATATCAACGTAATGATAAGCTTTACATATTTACAACATAGAGATATCTTTTTAATGTTGTCTGACATATGGGCTTAATTAATAGATGATACACGGCGCTGAGGGCCACACAGAATTATAGTCAGTCAGTCAGCCCGTAAACATTTAACGGGCTATAGCCGCCTCCTAAAGCTGACTTGGAGGCCACTTTTATGTCATATAAGGTCTAAGATACTGGGTGCTATTTCTTTTATATACCACACTTTACTTGAATATTATGGTTGAGTTCAACGAGGAAAGAAATCATATCGTTTAAATAACAAAATTTCTAGTAAAATGTACTGAAAACTGCTGATTTTGCGCGTTTTGTAAATCTTACAGATATGTTATCTCACTTAACACAGAAACTAAACTTGATTACGCACTTAAATTGTGCTTGTTAGATATTTTTGACAATGTTCGTATACTATCTCATTATGTGTAAGTGTGATCAAGTAACTGACATGCCGAGCCAGTGTTTAATCATATTCATGCTAAAATAACTCAATAAATATATATTTCAGTCACTTTGGCTGTTAAAATATATATAACGATACCTATGATTATTAATTATGAGATATAAGGAAATGACCCTGTCGCTTAGATCCAGATCTAATCTGACCAAACAAGTTCAAAATTCACGTATAGTTGAAGTCCATTTTACTGATGATGCCATCTCATGAAATAGTACCCCCAAGAAGGTAAAAACCTGATGCAACACCTTGTCTTAGTCCTTTTGCCCTCCGCAAAAGAAATAAACTTATCTTTCAAAACACTATTTTCTGGACTAATTATATTCTTACTTCAGTCTGTAAAATAGTGTTTTCTTAAACAAAATGCGCAACAAATTGATGGCAAAGTCAAATGAATCTTTTATAAAAATGTTAAATCAATTTTATTTACTTGTACTATAGAATAGAAAAAATAAGAATCCCTAAAGAAAGCCCAACACGGCAAAATTTGAAAATTTTGCAGGCTCGGTTTGATTGAGCCTGTTCATGGACGGTACTGTCAAGTGCAAACTACCGTCCACGCCCCCTAGCACCGGCTTAAGCAGAATTCAACATGAACTGGAACAATTTTTAAACATCCGCAGATGTGTTCATATGGCGGTTGTCATGGAACCATTCCATAAAAAGCGGCATATGGTCCCCAAGTTTTATAGAGTTACGTTCATAAACAGAGCCAATTAAACCTAGCCTGCAACATGATAAAAATTGTCGTGTTGGGTGTTCTTTAGGGATACAATTTTCATTCCTTTTTTGCGCAGTCAGCAACACTTTATATAATAGTAACTTGTTTGGGTTATTCAACTATCATAGATCAATATCATTATGTTTTATCATCATTATTTTATTTTTATTAATAATTCACACTTATTTTCTGTTCAATAAAGTAAATATTGCACTAAATTAGTCTAAATGTCGACCCTTTATTACTGCAACAACTCAAATACATCACTTAAAAAGAATACTATTCTACAAAATGAAGTAGATCGAACAAAATCGATAAAAACATTAAAATTTTAAATCTAAGGAACAAAGTAAGTTTTTATTACAATACCTTGAAGATGAACATTTCCCGCGCATATTGGTAATGTTATTAATAATATCCAAACAATTGCCATTATTTCACATTAAAAAAGCAAATCATAGTCGTGTACTAGTGCATGCAATGATAATGAATGAAGAAATAAAATTATATCAGAAACTTAAATTACCATTGGCTGAATAATATAAAATATGTTAACTATATATTTAGTTTGACAAGATATTATTCAAAATTCATGAACAATTGTCAACAAAACTATTCATTGATACAAACAATGGGTTATTTGTTTACCCTGTAAAGCAATTTTGAATCAATGTTTCTTCAATGAATGCTAAAACACAGCCCTACAAACATCCATTCACTCTTCTTAAATAAAACAATGAAAGTAAAGCGGAAGCGACTTCCGAGAAAGAGCGCTAGTATTTGCTCAATGCTATTCCTGTCAAGATCGGTGAAAAACGTTCGTGGGAATGTACTGAAGTCGAAAATGTTTTTTTTCTTCTTATTGATTTTGTCTTTCTGAACATTCCTTTCTAGCCGAGTCTGCAATTTTCATATTATATTGTTGTCTTCGTTGCTTCGAATGGATAATTCGTAATCCAGATAATTAAATGTCACATTGCTTGTTGATTACTGTTCTCATTTGTTTTATTAGCTCGACTTTTTTTAGTTTTGGTATATTGTCTTTATACTTTCAAGGTCAAATGTCCAAATTTTGCTAGTTCTTGCTATTATTGGCTGTAACTTTGTCATTTTTGAATGGATTGTCTTCAAACTTAAACATAATAACCTTCAAGGATAGCCCTTTAAAATAATCAGACAGACCTTGACCTTCACTCATAAATGATCTTGACTTTGAAGGTCTTATTATTGAAATTTTCATTTTGTTTGGCTGAAACTGGCTGTAACTTTGCTATTATTGAATGGATTGACTTCATATTATAACAGAACATTCTTAAGGACAAGACCTTCATGTTTATCAAACTCAAATTGACCTTGGCTCTTTTATGACCTTCAAGGTCAAGGTCATTAAAGAGCCCAAGCAAATTTAGGTTTGATAAACAACAAGGTCCTTAAGAATGTTCTGTTATAATATGAAGTTGATCCGTTCAATAATAGCAAAGTTACAGTCAGTTACAGCCAAAACAATGAAAATTTCAATAATTTGACCTTCAAAGACAATGCCATTAATGAGTGAAAAGAAAATATGATAAACAAGATCAACAAGGAAAGGCGGCGTTCAATGAACGCAACCACCATATGACCCAGCAACAAGAACCAACGGCAAAGAGCCCAGGCGGAAACAAAAACAGGACAGGGCAAAGACAGAGCGGGTCAAGGTCTGTCGGGTTATTTTTAAGAGTTATCCTTGAAGATTATTAAGTTCAAGTTTCAAGACAATTCATTCAAAACTAACAAAGTTACAGCCAATAATAGCCAAAAAAAATGAATATTTCAATAATTTGACCTTCAAAGTCAAGGTCATTTATGAGTGAAGGTCAAGGTCTGTCTGGTTAATTTTAAGGGATATCCTTGAAGATTATTATGTTCAAGTTTGAAGACAATCCATTCATAAATAACAAAGTTACAGCCAATAATAGCCAAAAAAATGAAAATTTCAATAATTTGACCTTCAAAGTCAATGTCATTTATGAGTGAAGGTCAAAGTCTGTCTGGTTATTTTTAAGGGATATCCTTGAAGATTATTATGGTCAAGTTTGAAGACAATCCATTCAAAAATAACAAAATTACAGCCAATAACAGCATGAACAAGCAAGATTTGGACTTTTAACCTTGATGGTCAAGGTCATTTTTGGATGAAGGTCAGGGTTAGTGTGGTCTACTGAAAGGTCATGTCCTAAGGGTTGTTGTGGCCAAGTATGAAGACAATACACCAAGAAATAAACAAGTTATGATCCAGGTACAAGTTTGCGGACGGCAACGGATACGGCAACGTCCCCGCGACTATAACAATACCTCTACTTTTTTTCAAAAAAAAAAAGTCGAGCTAATAAAAACTTAAAATACCTTCTTGTCTGACGGAACCTGGCTTAGAGGTTTGATATTTGGTATGTGTTATTATCTATAGGTATGATAAACAAGATCAACAAGGAAAGGCGGCGTTCAATGAACGCAACCCTCATATGACCCAGCCACAAGAACTACTCTACCAAAATTGTTAAAATTTTGCCTCTAGTGTCAAAATCAGTCCCACACCGGGGGTCATAGGTTTGCATATATGTATATAGTCAAAACTTAAAAAAATCATATTCTCTAAATTCACAAAGGCTAGAGGTTAGATATTTTACATGAAACATTGTGTAGTGAACCTTTAGAAAGATTGTACAAATTATTATGCCCCGGGGCTCATTGATTTTCAATGTGTACATATAGTAAAATACATATAGTAAAAAAATCAAAAAATCTTATTGTCTGAAGATATACAAGGCTGTTTCTAAATTTAAAATTCACAATTTTAGTGTTTAAATGTTGAATTCTGCTTAAGCCGGTGCTAGGGGGCGTGGACGGTAACTTGCAATTTCCATTACCGTCCATGAACAGGCTCAATCAAACCGGGCCTGCATCATTTTATAATTTTGCCGTGTTGGGCTTTCTTTAGGGATTCTGTTTTTAGAACTTTGATATTTGTTATATGATATCATCTATAGGTAGTCTACCAAAGTTGTTCAAACTTTGCCTCTAGTGTCAAAATTAGCCCCGCCCCGGGGGTCATAGGTTTTCCTTACAAGTATGTAGTAAAATCATCTTTTCTAATTGACAAAGGCTAAAGGTTAGACATTTTGCATTAAACATTGTGTAGTGAACCTCTGGCAAGATTATTCAAATTAAAGCCCTGGGGTCAAAATGAGCCCGCCCCTAGGGATCATTGATATTCAGTCACTATGTCATCAAGTAAAAAATTAAAAATCTTATTGTCTGAAGGTACTAATCTGATAAAGTGATCTATGCATTATGGCAATCTATATAGAAGCAAAAAAATGTGTTCCTTTATTACTATTTAGTGTTGTATTTATGCGGTGGCATGTCATTTTTAGCTCACCAGAGCCGAAAATATGATAAAACAAGATCAACAAGGAAAGGCGGCGTTCAATGAACGCGACCCCCATACGACCCAGCAACAAGAACCAGTGGCAAGGAGCCCAGGCAGACCCCATACAAAAACAGGACAGGGCACAAGACAGAGCACGGACAGGTTAATCATTAAATGATAAATAACAAGCATTTGATAGTATTGCGGGCAATACAGTAGTCCCCTACCGGTCCCTCAAAAAGTTCTTTAATTGTCATACACTCCTGTGTATTGCCATTTATAATGAATTTGAGGATGAAGTCTGTATTTGAAAATATCAACCACAAAACATAATAAAATAAATTTGTCTATATCACAGTAATGTGTTAAGTTTCCATGCTTAGTAAGGAAATTATGTTTATACAACCTTGTCATATTATTACGATGTGGGATTTTAAAGTAAATCCTATAGGAATGAAGAAGTTGGAGTGAAAATACCAGTTTCTCGAAAAAAATCTAAGTTCAAGGGGGACATAATTCTGGAAATAGTCTTGCTAGAGTATTTAACCTTCTCAAAAATGTCGAGTGATAATAAGAAACATATATATGAAGTTTGAAGTAGATACATTAGGAAATAAAGAAGTTATTTAAAAAAGACAACATTTTTTCCCCTAAAAAATCTAAGTTCAAGGGAGGTAATACTGATATTTTTTGTGCTAGAGTTATAAACCTTGTCACATATGATGTGGTTGATGACCAGAAACTTATATTTAAAGTTTGAAGTAAACACCTTAAGAAATACAGAACATATAGTGAAAAAGCTGAAAAATTTAAATCAGAAATCTTGAAATTCAGGCTATTTGTTGTCATAGCAACCAAAATTTTCTACATAGGAAGAAAAGAAAAAGACGTGCATAATTTGCATACTGCCATCTATCCACATGTCAAATTTCATTAAAATATTTTTAGTACTTTTTGAGTTATCACTGGATCCAGTTTATGTGTTAAATTTGCCATATTTTCAGACAATTAGTTGCAATAGCAACCAGAATTTTCTACATCGGAAGAAAATAAAAAGACGTTCATAATCTCCATACTGCCATCTATCCATATATCAAGTTTCATTAAAATATTTTCAGTACTTTTTGCGTTATCGCGGGATCCAGTTTTGTGGACGGACGGACTGACGGACTGACAGACGGACGGAGGGTAAACCTAAAGTCCCCTCCGGTTAAACCGGTAGGGGACTAACAAGTAACTGATTAGAAATTCAAAGAAAATAAATAAATGATTGACTAATAGGCCCACAAAGTCAAAGAGGAAGGGGGGATTAATCAAAGAAATAAAAACCAGGGGTAAAGGGGACAAACCAGGGGTAAAGGGGTAAGATACTTACCGTAGACGAGAAAACAACAAGGGACACAAGCAAAAGTGTCACCAAAACAGTATGAAACAACATAGACATACACCTGAAGAACACAGAGGGGCGCCGCCTTGGAACGGTCAGCAGCATAGTAATGACTGCTGGGGTGTTTAAACCGGTTAATGGTGCACCAAACCTCGCTCTTAGCCCCACCATGATCCTATAAACGAGACAGTGTAAATAAAATGAATCCCCGCCAAGTGAAATTCTAACAGTTGGTATGGTTACAAAAAGTGCCTGCAACATTTTCAATTTTGCCGTGTTGGGCTTTCTTTAGGGATTCTGTATTTATCTATTAAATAAGTAAAACACCAAAATGATCATGTAGAAACATGTAAAAGCAAACCCAATGACCATAACCAAAGTACTCAATGTCCTAAAGGAAGACAGAGCAACAAGAAAACCACCTACAAGGGCCCGACGAAGCAAGGCAGAAGACGAACATTAAGACAATTCAGTCCCAAAGGGCTTTAAGAACTGTCCATCATAGAGTCTCCCACTTGGTCCGTCAGATGTAATCAAAAGAGGAAAGCGTAATGTCCAACTGTAAAAGGGTTGAATACTAAACATGCAGTATGTCTTAAAATAGTAGGGTCATAACCTCTTTTAATAAAACGTTTAATGATTTTAGTAAAAACAGCAGAAAAATGACCATGACCCAAAATCTTACAAGTTTGTAAATCACATCGCCATAAA